CCGCTGTATAATGTAGAATTTACAGATGCACAATATTTTGAAAATCTGTAAACATTCAATATTTGGCTAATTTCCTTTTGTGTATAAAGCTTAAGATTAATCGGAATCGTGTTGGGTTGACGGAAAACGTTCGGGTGGTTTCGTAAGAATAACGGAAATCTCCGAGTGGCTTTCTGATCATAAAATGCACTATTTTTGTTCAGTACAGTTGTACCGTAGGAATTAGACACAGGGTTCAGGAAAAATACGGAAACATTTTCTCAAATCGAAATAGTCACTTTATATCTAAAAACATCACACCATCATACAGGTACATGTATGTCGATAGATACACATATTTGCTGTGACTTATATGATATGCTGCCAAGACAAGACGTGAACACGTGCTGAACAAGGTGGAACGTAAAACAAGGATAGATTCAGAAATGAAAGGAGCGGAAAAGAAAGAGAACGAAAAAAAAAGAATGAGACAGGAGATGACTCGGAAATGACGAAGGAGATGGGAGATATAGATTTTGTAGAGTCTAATTTCCACAGACCAGTCAACCAGTAAACCAACCTTCTGGGTTGCTTCTGTGTCTGCAAAAAAAAAACCTCACTGTGTGTTTTTCAAGCCTAAATGTCTTTCTGTATATCTCTTTTAATAATTTGTATGCCTTTTTATATAATTTCTAATTGTCATGCAGAGAATTCGACAAAATTTTTTTTTCTGTAACCATCCATGATAAAGAATATAGTTGAGGTCACAACATACAATACATATCCATATTAATACCATAGTATTGAATGAATAGATTCTCAACATTGTCTATTCACTAACATCAGAAAAAATCCACATTTGATGGTAGGTTGATATAGTAGAAAATTGTTACAGTAGGTAGTAGGTAGGTTACAGTAGGTAGGTTACAGTAGGTAGTAGGTAGGTTACAGAAGGTAGTATGTAGGCTACAGTAGGTAGTAGGTAGGTTACAGTAGGTAGTAGGTAGGTTACAGTAGGTAGTAGGTAGGTTACAGTAGGTAGTATGTAGGTTACAGAAGGTAGTATGTAGGTTACAGTAGGTAGTAGGTAGGTTACAGAAGGTAGTAGGTAGGTTACAGTAGGTAGTAGGTAGGTTACAGTAGGTAGTATGTAGGTTACAGAAGGTAGTATGTAGGTTACAGTAGGTAGTAGGTAGGTTACAGTATGTATTAGGTAGGTTACAGTAGGTAGTAGGTAGGTTACAGTAGGTAGGTTACAGTAGGTAGTAGGTAGGTTACAGCAGGTAGTAGGTAGGTTACAGAAGGTAGTATGTAGGCTACAGTAGGTAGTAGGTAGGTTACAGAAGGTAGTATGTAGGCTACAGTAGGTAGTAGGTAGGTTCCAGTAAGTAGTAGGTAGACCACAGTAGGTAGTTGGTAGGCTACAGTAGGTAGTAGGTAGGTTACAGTAGGTAGTAGGTAGGTTACAGTAGGTAGGTTACAGAAGGTAGTATGTAGGTTACAGAAGGTAGTATGTAGGCTACAGTAGGTAGTAGGTAGGTTACAGTATGTAGTAGGTAGGTTACAGTAGGTAGTAGGTAGGTTACAGTAGGTAGGTTACAGTAGGTAGTAGGTATGTTACAGCAGGTAGTAGGTAGGTTACAGAAGGTAGTATGTAGGCTACAGTAGGTAGTAGGTAGGTTACAGAAGGTAGTATGTAGGCTACCGTAGGTAGTAGGTAGGTTCCAGTAAGTAGTAGGTAGACCACAGTAAGTAGTAGGTAGGTTACAGCAGGTAGTAGGTAGGTTACAGAAGGTAGTATGTAGGCTACAGTAGGTAGTAGGTAGATTACAGAAGGCAGTATGTAGGCTACAGTAGATAGTTGGTAGGTTACAGTAAGTAGTAGGTAGACTACAGTAGGTAGGTTACAGTGGGTAGGTTACAGTAGGTAGGTTACAGTAGGTAGTAGGTAGGTTACAGAAGGTAGTAGGTAGGTTACATTAAGTAGTAGGTAGACTACAGTAGGTAGTAGGTAGGTTAAAGAAGGTAGTAGGTAGGTTACAGTAGGTAGTAGGTAGGTTTCAGTAGGAAGTAGGTAGGTTACAGCAGGTAGTAGGTAGGTTTCAGTAGTTAGGTTACAGTACGTAGTAGGTAGACTACAGTAGGAAGTAGGTAGGTTACAGTAGGTAGTAGGTAGGTTTCAGTAGGAAGTAGGTAGGTTACAGTAGGTAGTAGGTAGGTTACAGTAGGTAGTAGGTAGTTTATAATAGGAAGTAGGTAGGTTTCAGTAGGTAGTAGGTAGGTTTCAGTAGGTAGGTTACAGTAGGTAGTAGGTAGGTAGACTACAGTAGGAAGTAGGTAGGTTACAGTAGGTAGTAGGTAGGTTACAGTAGGTAGTAGGTAGGTTTCAGTAGGAAGTAGGTAGTTTGCAGTAGGTTGTAGGTAGGTTTCAGTAGGTAGGTTACAGTAAGTAGTAGGTAGACTACAGTAGGTAGTAGGTAGGTTACAGTAGGTAGTAGGTAGGTTTTTAAATCTATTTCAAAGACTGGGTCTAAATTATATGTTTATTTCAGGTTAATTTTTTGGAATTAGATAGTGATATCATGTCGTTTTGCTAAAGCGTTGTCGTTAGAGGTGAAGACAACAAGTTTAAAAATAGATTCATTGTGAGTTTTATGTTGGCCTGCAATGCTGTAAACATTCTAACAATGAAACGCTTAGCTTTTGCACAAGTGACTGTAATTTGCACCTCACAACTGCTTCAAGTACGCCACTAAAAACTAAAAAAAACGTCTTCCTTACAAGGAAGCAAGTGTGTAAAGTAGAACATGTGTATAAATATGTGGAGATTAAGTAAGTAATCAGCATCCTGGTCAACTCTGGGATCAATATTAACACGTGTTTATAGCCAGTGTTTGTACGATAGGGTTAAAACATTCAGTGTCACGAGATAACAGCATCATTAGGTATACTATGTACTTAAAGATCGCATGGAAAGACGGTGTGCAGCTTTGTTAAAACGGTCCATAGTGACATTTAATCCGCTAGTTGAGCAGGCGTGCGTGTTATTTTGTGACTTTGATAAGGCTAGGGGTATTTCAGTGAGTCAAAGAATTACACCAGTGTGATGGGAAAACTTTGGGAAAACTGGGAACAATGTTTCGTTTACGGCTAGGAAACTTGTAAGTATTGACATTGCACGTAAACTGTACAACCTGTTTTAAATGGTCGTCGTTTTCAGCAAAGATTTTTGTTCATTGTTTACACTTTTGTATGAATAAGAGAATTGATTTCATAGACTAGGTCTAAATTATAGGCTCATTTCAGGTAAATTGAAAATTTCGAGTTTGTTTGGAATTAGATAGCAGTAATTGGTTTGGTAGATTTTACAGCCTGTGAGTGATTGTTATATCATTTGACTTTGAGTTCAATTTGTGATACAATCCTTTAACTGCCTAGTTCTTTAAAGATATTATTATCAAAGAGTCCTCTAATTATTATTTCAGGGTTGAAATAAATGGCTAAAGCTGATGCAATGAAAATGTGAGAAAACATTATTTCTCATTTGATTTGATTTTGATGAGAAAAAACGCATCCAAAATTCCGGAAAAACCTCAGAAAAAGAAAAACAATCTGACAAAGAAATTCACAGTACATTTCCTTCTGAAGCTTCACGTTCTACTTAGAGGTTCTGATCAACAAAAAAAAGCCGAAATTGGAGTTAACTTGAGAGAATAGGTTGTTACTTTGAGAGATCATATTCAAATGTTATCTAATTTTGACACACAAATACGTCACCTGATCTACATTCCCTAAAGTGTAATTATAAACCGCAGTAAGTTTAGTTATGATCGTGTATCTAGAGAGATTTTTCCAGACACCGCTTTTCTGAATTGAGATTTCTGGAAATTGCGATATAATAAACACGTATACACAGTTTAATTGGTGGGTCATGTGTAAGTTTGGATTTTCATATTTTTGGTTAGAAAGTTTTCTTTTATTTGCCTTTTTCAGAGTTGCCTATTATTTTAATAAGGTACTAGATTTACTTGTTTAAGATGTATTTTCAAAAGGATAGTCTGATTTTTTTAATCTGTTAGATATGTTCCCATTTTTCAAACACATCCTTATGCCACTAACCGTCCTATTTCTCTGTACTCATTACTTAATTTACAATAAATGTTTGAAGTCTCATACAATATCACTAACGCAGAAACATTCTTCTGCATTCAAACTAATGGTATTAAGATAGCGTTAAACCAGTGAACAACCCAAAACTGCTCAGATAAAATGAATAGTTGTGTAGTCATAAGGGTTGACTATTTAAGGGCAAAGCATTCCCGCTTATGTTTCGTTGGTTAATGGTAAAATATTGCTACAAAACTTACATATAAAACGTCAACAGAGTTAATGTACTTCCCTAACTGCGGATTTAATTTACATAGAGAGATTGGGAGGGGGCGGGGGGTAACACATGTCAGCTACGTCTCCGCAAACAACCCTCTGTTCTAGAAGTTTAAACGGCAATAACGTTTGCTGAGTCAACGTGTATGTATGGTAAAATGGCAAAGCTAGTTGTCACTATATTACTAATTATCAGGAATATCTTATATTCTTCAAAATGTTTTTATCTCACGCTTTATGAATAACAGAAGTAATTATTGTTCACATACGACCATGTTATCTGTACCCCTATGCAATGACAATCTCATTTTAACTTATGAAATTAATATTTTCTTTATTTGTTTGACAGGAAATATTTGACAAAAGTGTTGGCAGTGTGTGCTGTATGTTTGTCAATGAAACTCTTACACGACACCTACCAGATAATTAACAGAGACACGTACAGTCAATGGTCTATATTAAGGAGGAATAAATTCGAAGAAAACAAGGCATGGTTACAGCAAGGCGTTCAGAATTGGGACAGGTCAAATGACCAACACGCGATTTCCAAAAACAAACATGAAATTAAGAAAAAAATCATCAAAGTCCATTATTTTAACAAACCAGACCACGTGTCACCTACGTCTTTCGATAAATGCCCGGATGCATGCACAATGACTTATGGCGTTAATGGTAATTTGTTTACCAGTGATGCTGTGATGTTTCAGGGCCCGCCGCTAGGGATTACCAATCCTCAACCACCAACGAAAATCCGAGGTCAGATCTGGGTGCTACACGGAAGCGAGGCTCCTGTATATTGGATGGGGTCCTTGTCACCATGGCGGCGTCTTTTCAATTGGACCATGTCATACCGTCGTGATGCCGATATTCGCCATTCATATGGAGATTTTAGGAAACGTCAAAGTGTCCTTTCAAAAATTCCGACCGCTTTAAATATTCCTACGTCATTCAATCCTGTGGGTTGGTTTGTTAGTCATTGTGTCACGTCATCACAACGTGAATTATACGTCGAACAACTTACTAAATACGTCAAGACGGATATATACGGTGCTTGTGGAAAATTAGTTTGTGATTTCGATAAATTTAAGGAATGTTTGGATCGTTACAAGTTTTATTTGTCTTTTGAGAACGCTATATGTCGGGACTATATTACCGAGAAAGTTTTCAATATTTTCCAAATCGCTTCAAATACAATTCCGGTAGTTCGGGGATTCAAAAATCAATCATGGATGTTCTTACCCCCTGGAAGTTACATAAGTACGGATGAATTTTCGTCCCCAGGGAAACTCGGCGAGTATTTAACAAAACTTTCAAATAATATGACGGCATTTGAAAATTACTTTACATGGAAACAATTCTATGAATCCTACAGCTATGAGCCTAATCCTTTTTGTATATTATGCCGGAGGTTACATCGATCAGAATCCTACAGACGCTTATATGACGATATCGATGCTTGGCTTAAAGGTGGAAATCAAGAATTTTGTGTAGGAGCTGATGATATTAGATATGTACTTTCACATTTTCTGTACAAATTTTGACCATATTACTATTTATGCACGATTCAATAATGAGAGCTTGTTGTTATGGGAGGCTTGACTTGTCACTAATTCTATTGTGTGTCAAGAGCGATGTTAAATATCAATATTGCAACACGACATGTTCATTTTCAAAATCCAACTGAAATAAAAGATACTAATTGGCATGCACTTGGAACTTCTTCATTCAAATGGACACCGTCAATGACAACCAAGTATTACCACTCTTTCTTCCCAGTAAAATACTATTGTATTGAATTGCCCGCTGTTCCTACGATGCATATTAGAGAATTAGTGAAAATCTCTTGATGGCGAATGTAATGATAAGGATTGTTTTCCAGTTTACTGTACTTACTTCAAAAGGTATTATACGATGGAATAAACGTAAGCCTATATTTTTTCTGTATCATTTCGAAATGTTTTATATGATAGGCTAAATGTAGGCCTTGAGATTTTTAGTGCGATTTAACGTGCACCAAGAAATATGTTGTTACTCCCATTAATATACACTTCGATGCCGGCACAAAAAAAAAATCAATTAATAAATCAATAAAAATGAAATGATCAGACCATCAATGAAATTTTACCAGAAATGGTGTTAACGATAGTGAATAAATTTTCATGCATTTTAAACAACATATAACACCACGAATATCATTATCGCCATTTATTACCATTGTTTGGAAATTCGTTTTTAAAAATGAAAACATAATTATCGTTTTTTATAATGAAAGACAAATAATATGAACGTACGTAAAACATGAAACGTAAAAAACGCTTTGTAAGCAAAGAGAAACACCTGCTAATGATTTACTCTAGTCAGCAGTTACTACAATGTAGAAGTTATACAAAAGTTACTACATTGTAGAAGTTATACAACAGTCACTACAATGTAGAAGTTATACAACAGTTACTACAATGTAGAAGTTATAAAACAGTCACAACAATGTAGAAGTTATACAACAGTAGAAGTTATACAACAGATACTACATTGTAGAAGTTATACAAAAGTTACTACAATGTAGAAGTTATACAACAGTTGTTAAAATGTAGAAGTTATACAACAGTTATTAGAATGAAGTTATACAACAGATACTACATTGTAGAAGTTATACAACAGTTACTACAATGTAGAAGTTATACAAAAGTTACTACAATGTAGAAGTTATACAAAAGTTACTACAATACAGAAATTGTGTAACAGTAACTATGTTATGAAGGACACAACACACCATGGATTAATGTTGATACGCAACTACCGAAGTTACTGCACGAATTTTAACGGTTTAATGGGTTAAGCCTTTAATTTCTGTTTGATGAACATGAGAATAACTTTGTTAGAAGTAGTAAAATGGAAAACATCATAAACACACTGGCTTAAAATGACATCTCTAAGCTTTTTACAGGACTTGTGGACAAATTCAAATTATAAAATCAATCATTCAAGGGCTTGTTCTTATTATCACATTATTTTCGGCAACTGACAGATAAAACTCACAATGTAGGGAGACGTAGGTTGAAGAAAATCATTGGGATGTTTTACGGTCATCATAACGATCTCAGGGAGACATATTCTGTTTCCTTGTGCGATACTGAGTGTGACGTTTTAGATTATCGTTTGAGTAATCTCTCTCTCTCTCTCTGTTTCTCTCTCTCTGTCTCTTTGTCTCACTCTCTCTTTTCTCTTTCTATCTCTCTCTGTGTCTCTCTTTTCTCTTTCTACTCTCTCTGTCCCTCTCTCTGTCTCTCTCATTTTTAATTCTCGCTATGCAAAAATTGAAAGAATACTATATTAAGCATTCATCTACATTTTGACCAGGACATGAATAAATATATGGTTCATGTGACGTCTGTTGACTTTCTGTCCATGTGTGGCCAATTTCATGTACCACTGCTATATAATTTACTAACTCCCAAAGGTCACCTTTAATTGCTGTCTTTGGTCCAGTTTCATTCAACCACGGCTTCCAGGAAATCCCCTTGGTTTGAATACTACACGGAATGGGCGGGGTTTCAGGGATACTCCTTTATAGTCTGAGGTCAAAGGTATTTGAATATTTTTGTCATGATGTTGAATGTGGAAGTGACGTATGAGGTTCATGCTGTACAGGAAGTGAGTAGTGTCAGATAATTTCCGTGCTGGGCAACACCTCGGACCTGAAACAAATTTATTGAAAAATAATGCATTTCTTTTATGATACTTACTTTCTTAATTATTTCATTTGTCTAAGTAGGAATAAATTAGTTAAATTTAGGAACACCAAAAATAAAATCAACAGAAATCTAGTCTGTTTCATAATGTTTATGAAATTTCAATAATCAAAAAACAACCTTACTGTCTTTTTAAATAGAAACAAAACATAAAAAAGGGAAAAAAGAGTCAAAATGTGTAAACAATATATATATTTATCTGACAATCTTAACAAAATTAGTTCCCATTTAATGAATTGTTCATAATATCTATATATATACTCAACAAAATAAGAAATACACAATTAAATTATGCAATCAATAGCCTATGATATTTTGGGAAATTTGTACCAAAATTTTATATCAATGAGAAGGGACAAGCCTACTCTTTACAATACTGTAGAAGTCTGTGACGTCACTCGTCTCTTCAGTAGTCTCTCAAAGTGGGATCATTGAACTCATGAGATCATTAAATCGCCTTAAGGGAATGTTGTTCCATTCTTGTGTTAAAGCTACGATCATCTGGGCGCGGTAGGTTGGGGGGTTGACGTTTTTTAATACGCCTGTCCAGCTCATCCCACTGATGCTCAATGGGAGATATGTCGGGGCTATATATGGGTCATTCGAGAGACTGAACATTGTTTGCCGTGATAAAAATTAGGTTATAACGTCTAGGAAGAGGAAAGACCTGTGGTTGAAGGATCTGATCTCTGTATCAAACGGCTTTGAAGTTTGGATCCGGTACCACTAAGGGGATTTTACTCCATGGGAGATGCCTCCCCAAATCGTTACAGAAGCCCCACCGAATCTATCATGTTCAACCCCGCATGCGTCGGCGATATACCCCTTTTCTTCCGTCTAAGCGATACAGACAGAATCTAAACAAAAATTGGTGAACATTACACGCCTCCTTCGACGCATCTCAAACCTATTCGGGCCAAATCTTCGCATCCAGTCAAGACGCCGCCTCCTTGGTGTCAGAGGTGGCCCGACATAAGGCCGGCGCGTAATGATTCTCTCGTCACGCAAACGGTTCCTGACAGTTTGAGCACAAATGGGTCTGTTATGAGTACCTAAGGTATGCGACGCAGTCTTTATAGCAGTCTTGAATATGTTGCTCAAGTGCGACAATCGAATCGCCCTGTTTTGTAGTGCGGTCGTTACACGAGGACGACCGCTCCTGGGACGATCAGAAACCGACCCAGTGGCAAGGAGATGTGTATACAAACGGTTAATTATACACAGAGCAACTCCAAACTGCTGTGCGACAACAATTTGGCTACGACAATCCATCAACATCGCAATTGCTCTACCCCTTTGGATTTGCGTTTAGCGTGGTATCTCGATCAATGGCGAAATCAAAATGCTAACGTGGAAAAATCATGTGGCTGAACTTAGAGTATCCATTGAATTTATTCGTTTGAAAAAATCCGTCGTGGTTTGACCACGAGACATGATTTGGACTACAGAAACTCTTAAAGTCAGATAATGATATCGTCACGCTTGGCTGATTTTAGGGTAGATTTTCGAGAAGGGAGATCATTCTTGATGTCATACCTGACCAAATATTCCATTATTTCCTTAAAGCTAAGGTGTAATTTAAGGGGGGGGGGAACTTTGTGCGTTTCTTTTTTGTTGGGTATATATACATGTACATAGATACAAACCAAGACCAAAGGAAAGGGACGCAACTCGTTCCTGTGTCTCGCTCAACTGAGAAAAAAATCTTTCAGGTCGGAATTCAAAAGGGTCTTCCCAAATTGTGTCATCAAATCGAGGTTTGTGAAGGTCACAGACGACCAATGAACGTCCAGAAATCATGTAGCCATCCACAATGGAACTCTTCTTATTGGTGTGTAGCGTTGTCATGACAGCTGTTGAGAGAAATCGTTAGATGTCATCATTATTATCGGAATTTATACAAGATAATTCATTGTCCAAAAAAATTGTCATTACGTGATAGTTCAGTCAATAGGATCTGCAACCTAAGATGAGGACCCAATGTTTGTGGTTCCCTAATGGGGACGATTTGTGTTTGTCAGGAAGCACAGGCCAGGGCTGTCCTAATGCAAGGAACTTTACCACCATGGTAAACATGTGGCGGCACTCCTGCATGTTGTTCAGTAAGGTAGCAACCAGCTTCTACAAGGAAATATCGACACACTATTACCCTGAATGTAAGTGATCGAGTCTTAGACAACCATTTCTTAGTGTTGAAAGCAGATCAAAATAATATCTCTCTTACGTTGAATTCCTAGGCGTGTAAAATGCCGTTGGACATTCTCGGGACACTGATTACTTCTCCAATGGACGCAAGTTGCTTGATTGGGATCCTGTATAAATTTGAAGGTCAGTTCTCACGACCAGTGTTGATATAGATAACAGATTGCTCTCCTTAAAGTAATAATAATATATCTTAATGTTACCATAGCAACACTCTCTGGACACACCATTTTGAAATATATCTGACAGCTATCGTCACCTTTACCATAGCAACACTCTCTGGACACACCATTTTGAAATATATCAGAGAGCTATCACCATTTGTTACCATAGCAACATTCACCAGGACACACCATTTTCAAGCCTATCCGACCGCTATAACCAAATGCTCTATTTTTCAAAATCTGTCTCAAAGGCCAAAACAATAGCAACCCTGACCTGGACTAGATATTCGCAGGATCTCCTTCAATACTGCTACACAGTATGGTAGACTACCATTGGCCTTGTCATTTGACGACACGTCACGATCTCCTACAACCTGTAACACAAAGGGTTTGTTAACCTATGAAAAAGTATTTTCAACATTTCCTTTCTAGTTTTATTGTTCGTACATTGATGTTAACGTTTTAAGAAAAAGCTATGACATATCTATCTCGTATTAATCATAACATCTGTAAATTTACTAACTAAATTACTGGAATGGTCCAAAGCATCATAGGAAGTGACTTGACTTTCGCAACAATTGACCTCAACATCACCGGAAATAACCTTAACATCACAGGAAATTACCTAACATCAAAGGAAGTGAACGAAAAAAACATTATCTTCAATCATAGATTATAGACTGAAATCACAAAAAGTGAGTCTTGTATCACAGGGCGTGTTATCTAAAATCACACGAGATGTCTGTTAGAATATGTGAATAGTTTAGTATTCAGGAAAACGACATATATATGTATATACATATATATATATCCGGTATATATATATTTGACCTCTTATAAACAGAAGGCGCAGCTTTTTAATGACAAGAAAGTATCAACCAGTCACACTTACAGAATCCATCTCTTCCTGACATTTTCGTTGTACATCCGGGTATCTGACAAGGTACACGATTGTCCATAGAAGTAAGGATGTTGTCATCTCTGACCCGTATATATACAGGTCAAGTATTGACCTAAGGAAGTTGTTCTCTGAGGAAAGAAAGTTGACAATAACTACATGCTGCACATATCTGCCTACATTAACAACTTCTATACAGAATTACTGAGGAAAGTTTAATCAATTTAATCCAGAAATATCAAAATCGATGAAAAATACATTTGCGTCAGTATCAAGATTTACAGTTGAGAAAAATTGTATCAGAGGAGAATAGATCATTGTGATATATATTTCTAAGTAAAATAATCCCATGTACATATACATACACAGTCCAAATGAGTTCGCAGCTTAAATAAATTTCTCTCACACTATACAATGTGTCGTCGCATACGCTTGAGACGGGGATTTCCGTGTCATGACAACAGTTATCAATTCAATGGCCTCATGTCAACAATTCAGTGGCGTCATTTTAACAATTCAATATCATGTCAACAATTCAATGGCATCATGTCAACAATTCAATAACATAATGTCATCATTTCAATGACGTAATGTCAACAATTTAATTCAATGACATCATGTCAACAATTCAACGTCAGAAACGCCAACTATTAAGGATGTATTCCTCTGAGAAGTAAAAATAATTTCAGTAGTACACTTTTATTTGATGATGATTTTTTTTATAAGTTTGATTTTAGAAAATAGTCCAGATGCAAAACATAGATGTGATGCTTCACTTCTTTTTCCGGTACAGACATCAGAAAATATTTAGCAGAAACTTATTCATTTTCACATATCATTCTCATTTTTGTCCTGAATAAGATACATTCTCTGTATTTGCGACAACGTTTTGTCTTTCATAACAAAGGAAGGTTATGATACTTGGCTATAAAAGAAGTTTTTATTTGATAATATCATTGTCATAGCCACCAACTTAAATGTTCCAAAATTAATGACATCCTTTATTTGTCCGTCTTTTAAGATTTGATTTCTTATTTTATGTTTGGATAGATACATTTTCTAGGAAACCTTTCGTGATGAAAAAAGAGGAGGTCTCCTTTAGGGTGAGTTTTCTCAACCAGACGGAAAAGATACTTAAGTTGGCAATCACTGGACTGGCTTCATATTTGCTAACTTGAGAAACTTACCCTCGTGTCGAAATTAAAAAAAAACGATAATTCGCGAAAACCGTACTCATACGAAGGAGAAAGATCTGAAAAATGTAAGAATCTTTAGCAGTTTACTCGGTCTAAAGGCATCTCTCTGTGGTATTTAGGTCCGTGTTCACAGTACCGAACATTCAGGACCGTGGATCAGTCTACAAACACAGAGCAGATTCACCGTGATAAAGAATTGTATCCGATATAGACAAACCTGTTTCTTGGTCAGTTTCCTTCCCATGCTCCTTCTGCTGTATAAAGGTGTCCATCAGGTCAAGGGATGCGTTTCCATGGCAACACCGGTTCTCGTGAGAGATCAAATATTTCTTAAGAATTACAAACAGGTCGTTTTCCTTAACAATAGCTTCATCTCTCTGGAAAGGAAACACTGTCATGGTAAAAGGCAGAATTTTTTTCTGGATATGCATCAATGACTTTTAAAATGGTACTAGAATAGTTTGTCCATTGATCTGTGTTAACGAGCCCTATCGTACTTCTCGATCGATTAATTCTTGCGTTTACCTACGTGCACAATACATATTAGATAATTAAACATAAAAAATACACTGTAGTCTGTTAACCGTAAATCTACTGTGCTTTGTTTACTTTTATGCACATGGCTGCAGAAAACCAAAGGGAAAACACAAATAACTACCGCGCCTATGCTGATTAATAAAAACACTTATTTGTCATTGACAATTTGTTTATGATTTTAAATTCATTTACTGGATATACATTTACAAATTTTATTTTATTGTATTTAACGATTACGCTCTTACAGAGCCGTACGTTACGCTTCAGTGATGGTGCCGCGGCCTTCACCTACCTCAGCGCTATCCATGTTACGTATTTATGAAGTTTCATTTTTAAAATATTGTTGTCGAGACTTGTTAGAATACAAATGTGAGCACAATATTTTTATTACTTCTGGTATCGATTTCACGAAGTTATTTTGACCAGAGTGACTGCGTATCCACGCCATTCAGATTACCTATCTTATATACATCCGTGCTTAAATCTATATATTTAAATAAACGATATCATTAAAGTATAAAATCACAGAATACTTTTATTTATTATTAATTCATTTGTGTCATGTAATGTTATGAGACACGTTTTCAGTAAACAACCGATGAAAAAAGGAGTCAATCTTCAATGCATAATGTCTCCATTTATGGAAGCACGGCTGAATCGGACCATCGGATAAGTCGAATATTTCATTTGGTCCCATCGACTTCGACTTATCCGTGTTTTATTGTGTATTTATCTGAAAGTGGACTATTCCGAACGACTATACAAACATTTATCAAGAATTGACACTTCTATGTAATGGTATCGAACACTTGTATTACTTTAATTACTGCTCTATTCATGAAGCTAAATAGAATGTCTTACTGTGTGATGGACAGACGAAGGAGAATTCGTTTCCTCTGTCAAGAGATAGAAAAATAACACCACGCAATATTACAGAACATACAAGAGCATATGTACATTAATATGTCGAATGAACTCCACATAGAAATTTACCACAAGGTGTAACACTGGATTGTCTAAGGTAATCCCATCTCCTAAGCAACACGTGATACAGTTAAACGAATCACGTCCGTTCTGTGTCGAGGTTAGATCCAACCAAGGGAGATAACTCCTGCAGTTTTTACTACAATTCCTAACACAAGTCCAAACAATGTCATTTTAGTACGTCTATGCTGCCATAATCCATCACTTCTTAATCTAATAAATAAAGTAGGATACACACCTTTCGTTTCATACAAGCCCCCAGACTCGGAAACATGTTAACAGGATTTTGAGTCTTGTTTCTCTCTGTTATATCAGCAATACCATCTTTGAGTAAACTGTAGTCTTTCTCTGTCACATCAAACCTGTCAAAAAAGTCATAATTACAAGGTGTGACATAAGTGCGGAGTTAAAAAAAAACAATGGAATGGATTCTGCATTAATTTTCAATAATTTTATAACATTTTCCAATCCTTCCCCTCTAACAGACATAATATACTGTCTATTCATAACAGTTGCTGTGACTGTGAGTGTAAGGAACGACAACTCTGGGTAAAGATGACGCGTGGCACATTACAGGGTTTGGGGACGAATGTGTTATTGTCTGTGGATTGTGCATCTGTGCCCTGTGTCTCCCATGTCTCCTATATTAATTATATTTTGCGTCTAGAAATAAATAAAAGAAAGTGTGTGTGTGTGTGGAGGAAGGGGGGGGTTGGGTTGGGTTATGCGATGTTACATTACAACATTATAAGGTATGTGTGGTATTGACCTACCGCTGACCAAATACGAATGCAGACAGTATGTTGAATGTGGAAGAACTGAACAGACTGTTGGGGTCAACACCGGAACCATCTGATTCACTTCCTTTGTTCAACAGGTCAACCACGTGGTTTACTTCGGCCATGGTCTGTTTCTCTGTATGCTGACTGCTGTCCGGAGAGGTCTGTGTAGTGGTCGTTATGTCTCTCATTCTCTGCCACATCTCACCGTTCGTCCAAATTATCCCTAAAATGGTTCGTAAAAAATAAATCTTAGACATCATATATATGAAATAATTTTATCTAAAATGTTAATATTTCTATTGAACGATTGTGAAATTGTAGAAATGTATTTATTTTCAGTATGATTGAAATCTGGCTATGAGATATAAAACGGAAGTCGAGATTGCGTTCATACCACAGGCACTCGAGGCCAGGATATTATTTTTTAAACATTGATTTTTGTTTTAGCACTCATGACTGACGTTATTTAAACGAAATATCAGCAGAATTCAAATTTATGTGCCGGTTGACAAATCCGAGGTCCACGGTCATTAAAAATACACAAGGCAAGCAACTCCAGATTTTAAAAAATCGACCCCTCGCTTGGAAACTGGCTCAAAAAAAGTAGTTATGATAAGTTCCTTGTAAAACAATATGTATCCGTAGGTAGTGTGTATATTTACCTTTTATTTGGTGCATAACATTACAGGCAACACAATACGTAATGAGATTAACATCTCAATAACCGTTTTATCGTCCATGTAATTATCTTTGACGGAAGTAACATGCCATTTCAAGGGCGGTCACTCCGACTTTTTGGGAGTTCCGGATAGCACTATACCAGTGAACAGGTAAATCTTCATTACGCGCGTAACTTCAAAATAGATATTTTTATTTCTACAAATACATTTGCGGGGATGTCACTATGGAAAAAAATCATTTAATTTCCAATTTCTAAGTTAATATATTTCCCCCACGATATTTTTCATAAATTGTGCCCTTTTTTCATTATCTGCATGATTTTTTTCTATTTTTTTTTTGAAAAAAAAATTCACAGATTGATAAATCCCTTACCATGATATTGTATCCGAGTTGGCAAATGTGGACTTTCTTTGCCCAGCCATAAAACTCTAAAATCTTGTTCAGTGACAAAATACCGGTTATAGTATTACAGTACGAACACAGATATAAATTATTGTTTGAAACATTATAAACGCCGTCAAATTATTGTTTGATTTTCCGTAAACTATAAAGTTTCAAAAATCAACTTGGCCTTGAGAGTTTAATATGTGTTTGTGAAACAGTATGTCCTCGGCTGCAACAAAACTTTGAATTGGGACACTAGAACTGTGCTGTGTAAGGCGTGTGCTAACTGCATGCTCACTTTGTGAAACACTTGCGTCTTCGTTGTGGCAATGATTCTTTTTTACTTTCAATTGTAGGTCAAAGGTCACTTAACATTGTAACAAGAAACACTTGTCAAATAGGAATCAGACAGCACAAAAACAATATGCAACGGGGTCTTTCGATCCGCAAGTAGTATACCAGGGTTTTCTATTAGGATCGACACAAAATTCAAATCTTCATATTTTTTCGGTTTCCTTTCAAACACATCCTTATCACCCAGTCAATTATTCTCGTGTTGATGTAGAGTTTCCTCGTTATGTTAGTCGGCATCCTGACAATTCGTGGTAATAAATATTTGTATCAATAATTCATTGAAAACTTTGCTTCTTTTAAAAAAAATCTGAACCTAAAATTGCGTTTTCTATCTGAAGATACCTATAAACTAAATAGTACGGAACATTTTCCACGAGTTAGTCAGACAAATCGTACATGTACCATGTATTGCCAACGGAGTTTATTTCACGTGAGTGCTCAAATATGTAACAGTACTTTATTTCCTAACTCTGTATCACCTGTTTACGACGTCTATTACCCAGGTGTAAAGTGTAAGTGATACATTAACGACTTAAAAAGTACAAGAGTTTAAATTTCGGGAAGTACTTCCGGTTCAAAGGGCAATTGAAGATTGACACGTACTTTCGCAAATTTACGGGTTTTGACAAGGGTGAATTTATGGAGGAACACCTATAACATCCAGAAATAGATTTTGTTCGCTATTAAGTTGAGTGGATCGATTCGAAGTAATAAATCAAGTCGCTTCGTTGTTATCAGCCTTGTTCTCTTTTGGTGAACCTGTCATTTCTGAGATTGACACAGAAGACATGCTTTCGAACCTGGTATTATGTCCCTTGCATTTTCAATTGTACACATATAGAAAAGTTAAAACAGTCTTTTTCAATCAAGGTCTCAGTCTTAACGAGTCATCAGTATTAATTTAACTGGAAAAAATCGCCATTTTCTTCATCGGGTTTGTTAACCGCAAGATCACTATTGACCCGAGACCGGAATTGACTCCAGCAATATAACATGCACTTGTAACCAGAATTCAATGTGAATTTAAAATTTCCTTGTTTTCAAATAAAAAGAGAAAGTGATATTAATCATGACATGCGGTTAGGATCAAACAAATCAGTAATACTTGAGCTTACGGAAGAGACTGAAGTGGTGTTCTTATATGAAGGAAGTGTATCCGCTGTATTGTAGTGTTGATACAATATACTATGTCAGTATGATATAAGCGTCGTCGGGATTTTTAAAAGTTATTAAAAATCCTATTTAAAAATGTAACATTCATGTTCAATCTGCATTTATTCAGTCATGCCTCATAATTCCCATCGAAATAGACTAATATCTCTTCATGTATACTTTATCGTGATGTCTGTGAGATAACACCTTGCAATGGGATGAGTAACGGAGACAGTACACCAACCACCAAACCAACCAACCTATCTACCAACCAACCAACCGACCAACCAACCCATCAACCCACCAACCAACCACCAAACCAATCAACCAACCCACCAACCAACCACCAAACCAATCAACCAACCAACCACCCAACCAAGTGTAGGATTTTATTTATCAACAATCACCTTCTTCCGTAAATGGAATATACATGTAATTCGAATGCGTCTCTCAATAACAAAGGCAAAACAATCAAGAGAAATGTAAACATAAGCATAATCCAAACACAAATTCCATAAAACTAGGGCTAAATATGAAGGATTTACACGACCAGGTGTTCCGGATGAGTAATCATCTTCTGCTTCATTGACGTCATCCGCGATGTAAACATTGGTCAATCCAAGTAAGTAATGCCACGTTCTCAAATGAGAACAAGGTATACAACAACGGAACCAACAGGCAAACTAACGAGCATCAAACACGTCCAGCTTCATATAGCACAAAGAAACAGAATATTTCTCAATGAGAATCACTATGGCGACCATAAAACTTCCCAATTATTTTCATCAGCCTGTATCTTTTGAACCCTTGTGTTACAAGTTTGTCAGTCTGTTGAGTCAGTTGATGATTTCTTGCACGAAAATCGCGATAAGGGGAACATGTCCTTGTGGATCGAATCAACTGCGAAATGTAAACACCATACGTGATGCTGGATATTGTTATCAAGCAATTGAGAAATCCATAACAGGGAAATTGTGCAGTTATCACCAAGAGTACATTGTGGTGCCCTAAATAACGGTGTGTTGTAAGCATTAAGGAACGACAACTCTGGTAAAGATTACATACCTATGTCTAATCAATTTCTTCTCCGCCGCTGAGACAATCGTGTTACGTCATTTAGTTATGACGTCAAAATTGTGGTACAGCAGCATGAATTTTGCGGTAGTTTTACTGTCTTGCGTGACAGATCAGGCCAGCTACATGTTTGTGATTAATTGACATGAGTTCTCAGACTTATCCGAAGCTCGACTGGTCTGGCCAATCGTGTGGTCTTGGTGTGAAGCATCTTTGGATGAGGATGAATAAAAATCGTTCTGAATATGTTGGGTGTCGGTCGCCTGGGACAGGGAGTACTAGGCCCAATATACGAGATACAGAAACATATACTAAATATCTGTCGGTGGAAATGTTGGGATTTCTTAACTGTTTGATTAGAAACATCCTTGAATGAAGAGGAATTGATTTTGTATGAATTATGTGTGCCTACCCCTTGGAGCAGTTAGAACTGGCCACATAGGGTAAATTATTTGGAAACCGTTAATTCTGTAAGAATGTCAGGTTCAATACCAATTTGGTCTGATGCATCCTGGGATGAAGAGAAATCAGTTTAATATAAACGACGGGACTATGTTTCCTGAGGCAGGAGGGACGGGTATCAAAAGGGAAAATAGAGCAGTTATTTTAAAATAATTCTTTGCCTCTAAGAATATCACGGTTCTGTCCTATTTGGTCTGACCCATGCTAGGGAAAGAAATGTTGTGTAGCCGGTGGATCTCAACTACCGGCGGCCAGAGGAGCGGGGCCCACCAGAGGAGCGGGGCCCCAAGGGGGAAATATATCTCTTCTTCAAAAGGAATATCAGATGTCCCGATTTGATCCAGAGCACCCATGGGTGAAATGTTTCGAGTCCTGGGACAGGAGGGTCGGCTGAAAGATAAGGAATGTTTCGCTGTCCGCTGTGGCCGAGGTGTAGGGTCTCATGGGGGAATTACTTACAGCCCTTTAGAATTACTTTTAGTTTTAATAAAAAATAAAAAACAATTCCAGATACAGGCTCTATGGGCCTCTTGTTAGGCCCACAGACATGCACATGTAACTGGAAAAAAAGAGTTTCGGCGACATCAAGCTGCCTTCATACATGTAATTGTACTTGTATAGCACTTGAAAGTAATGTTATATCTACGATGTCATTATTATGATGCATCGTCAAACTTAGAATACGTGCAACATATACATAAAAAACATTACACATTCGTGTAGATACGCGCTCGTCAAACTTGAGTGGGTGTTATAATGTGGAAATTGTAGAGTACAGGGGACGTCCTAAAGCGCTGAAAATGTCGTTGTTTTGGGAATTGAGGTGTGTTTCTCAGTTCTGATATCTGTAAACAAGTATGTGTTTCTGGTATTTTGAGAAACTACGGGACAGTGATAAGTATGTCAGAATATGACTTTTACATGTCGTTAGAACACTCTATTAGATATCTCCTAAGCAGGGGTCATGATAGCTCAGTCATTAGAAGGACGTCTTTTAGTTATGTCGCGGCGAAAAGACGATAATGAGCGGGACGAAAAGACGATAATTATCGTTTTGATGTGGCGAAAAGACGGAAATTATCGTTTTGTCGCTGCGAAAAAAACCGATAATTAGCGGGGCAAATAACTTCGCCCCGCTAAATAGCGACTTCAAGTTTTCGTTATTTCGCGTTGAGTTTTGTCGTCTTTTCGTTATGTCGCTTACGAAATTTAGCGTTGGCGAAAAGACGATAATTATCGTTCTGTCGGGGCGACAAAACGAAACACCATAGGGGACTGACAAACAGGACGGCCTTTGCTGTTGCGGTCGTACCCTTCGGCAAGACACTTAAACTCAAACTGCTCTGGGTGGTATGCGGCGGATCTCTCATATGCTGTTCCGTGATCTGGTCACCAGCTACTACAAGGAGACCTCGCCTCAAAACAACCCTAGCTAATTATAGGGTCGTTAACTCAGTAAATAAACTTCTGTGTTTGTTGCTTGCTTTGATCTTGTTCCAGTCTCGCGCGAGGCGGGGGGGGATTAGAGTTGACGCCGTTCCTGCTGGGCCCTGAATCCTGTGAATCAAGTCTATCCGATTTTTAACATACCGTTCCGTGTAGACGTCTCATATAACGGAGATAATTGCTAAAAGTTAAAAGCTTATCTAATGTAGTGGATTTGACTTTGTCAAGGGAAAAACGTTCAGGTTCTAACGCGATACTTTTTTGCAGCTTCTAACGAGTTGATAAACACTGTGGTCTTTGGCTAGTGGTAACACAGCCGACTCCTGGATGTAACTTAAACAGATCCCACATGTTCTTGTAAAAGAAAAGAGATGTTATCGTTTGGATGTTATCGTTTGATGCAGCGGGGTTCATTTATTTCAAACATCACTGGTCTAATTTGAACAATATTTGTCAACATTAAAACGGAATGTGGTTTTTGTTCGGAATTTAAAATAATAAAATAATTCGTAAGGCAACATTTAAACCTATTTTGCGTAAAACATGACCACTTTACCACTAGAAGTTTTTGTAGAACGAGATTAAAACACACCTCTGTGACCAAAAGGTAACACAAAAACTTTCATGTGTGAAATTGTCACGAGAGTGAAAGGAAGAAAAAAAGTAAGTGACAATGATACATTTTGTGCCATCTACACTGTGTTAAGGCTTATAGGCCATCTGTCCGAACAGTTAACACTACAATGGGTCCACGACATTGAGACGTCAACACCTTCCTGTAGCAGGACATTTACACTTTTCGGTTCAGTAAACATACAATGTTATTTTAGCCACACAGAATTTAGGCCAAGTATTTTGCTTTAGGACAAACAAACAGTGTAATTATTGGAAGATTTCTAAATTAACTGTGTAACATTGTAAATAGTCTCAGATTCTAATTCAAATCGATATTCGGTTCAAGAATTAACATAACATTTTAGTTTGTTTTTCTGTCCCAAATGTATTGTATGTAGATGTTGTTGAATTGTCGTATGAGAAAATTGTTTAAACCATCGTCAAGATTAGTGAATCCATTTGTGACATTTTATAACAGCCTTTACTCGTCCGATCGCCTTGAGTTCCTAGAACCTCTCAACTCACGTCATTGATAACTACATTGTATGGTATTTCCACAAAAGCGTGAACATTAATATCTACAGAGAAATAATCTCTTTTTCGTATTTCACAAATAATGTCTTTTCTAGTCTGATAGAATGTGTGTGCGTGTAAGGTAATCGACCAGTACCTTTAAGGCTAATGTCATAATAATGCATGTATCATGAAGCTTCAACCTGTACGTACTTCATTGCAATCCATCAGTATAACCATTGACCTTTTCACCTCCTAATCACCGATAACAGAACCAAACGAGACTGGTAAAATGATGTTATGTTATCATTTTTAACATCAATCCCCCTCCCCTCGAGACCACAGAATGTATACACGATTTAAAACTATGTGATGAGACGAACAATAATTTGTACTATGTGCCTTCGATATGGTTTTTAAATGGTTTTCATCTCGAGTGTTTCCACAGGATCCGAGGAAGGTTTAGTGTTAGTGAATAAGATACACACCATTTGATAAATAGATTGTGTTTAGGACAAGGAAAGTATGGTTAACTTGGCAGTGAAATATCTGACTGCTTACCTTTCTTCTGTATGACTTTATCTGGTATATAAAGCCAGTTCGGACGCATCTCAAAATTCTCTTCAGGTCCCAGTAAAACGTCCTGTATATTTTTAAGTCCGAACACAAATACAGTGGTCATCTCGCCCAGTTTGACCCGGAAAATGTTTCCATAGCGATCCCTAAACCTTTGTAACTTGTGATCGAACCGTCCACCGATCACCTGTGGTATGTTACCGATGACTGGGAGGCCCCGTGGGCCGGGAACGCGTGCCATTTCTTTCTTCCACAGCCAGTAGACTGTCCCTATAACAATGAGCACGGGAATGAGGAAACTCGGCACATAATTAGCACCAACGTAAGAGGACATATCCTGCGAGGTCCCGGTCGGTTACACACGTTAGCATACAAACGTGCGGTACAAAAGACCTTCACGGATATAAGTGAAATTCACACAAGGAAATACACCGATGCATTCAATGAGCGGAAACCGTTAAATCAGACTCCGATTTGTACCCCTCTAAGTGACGTATGTGTTGTCACGTTTTTGGCGAAGCGGATTGTAAGGTAGAGTGAACTGACGACTGTAAACAGTTAGCCATGAAAACCACTCCGTCACAGATCAGTGGTTTCAATGAAGGCGGCAAAATCAATCGAGTGTGACTTCAATTACAACAACAGCGTGCTTCTGCTAATTGATTTTATTTGAAAATCCGTGTTGAGTACGTTTCTTCAGTCACAGCGGACGTAAACAGGTGTTAAATTATGTTTTGATGATAAACAGCGATATCTAGGTGTTTCTTGAATACAGTAAACGGCTGAATGATTTTAAATCTACCGTGTACATACATACACGTGATAACGTGGAGTACTAGATTCTAGTGTATCTAACTATAAATAAACTGAATCAAGATAGTAAATTGTTTACAATGACGTAGTACAATGTATACAAGAAACAAACTTTACTTATAAAGAAAACAAATCCACTGTTTTAACATACATTTTATTGTACTAGATCTTGACCTGTGAACAGGCCGTACCAGTTTAAGGCTTTTCCTTGTAGTAGATGGTGGCTCTCTTATTGAACCACGTGCGAGAGGACCGCAATATTAGGGACACATCAGCACAGGAAGGTCCGTAGACTGCCCGATTATTCACCCTCGTTTAGAAAGTTCAATTAGCAACCTCCTAAACTACCACGGACATATTTGTACGAGTGAGAGATAAAAAAAAAACTTGTAAATAGACTGACAGCGTTATAACGCTTTCAAATAAACGTATTAAATAGATATATATATATAAAGGTTACAGACAGTTCAAGTATACTTATCTATTGTAATACTTTGTATGTACACATTATCCATACATAGACAGGCAGTGAGAAGGAAGACGACAGGAATAGACACGACGGAAATTCATTTAGAATCAGTACTTTATCACAATTTGACATTATACCATCAGTAATATATTTACTGTAAAGTACCTCAAAACCAAGAACTACTCGTCCTAAGCACGTGAATACATTCCATGAAAATGGGATAGGTTTAAATCATCATGTCAATCAATCATTTGCTTAAAGGAGACAAATATTTCATTCAAATTTCACGGCACGTATGTGAAATTTGCGTCATATGATCGGGTTCATAACTGATACCGGATGTCTGACGAAAAGGGTTCACTGTAGCATAACGGAATGTGACTGTCAACTAAAAAAAAGTAACTAGAAAGTTGTTTTTTTTAAAGATTAGTATATGTAGAAAAAATAGTACTAATGTTTTTAAGACTACGACATTGGCATATGTCAACGACAAACTGCACACTTTAACCTTTGACCTTATTTTGAATGTCGCTGTTATTTAATTTTTTCATGGCGGGCGTCATGTATGAAGCAGAAGACGTTTACTCTTCCGGAACATCTACCATATTCTCCTTGGACATTTTCAGAGGTCTCCATGTAAATCTTTATTTTGTTCATATTTTGCCGTAGTTTTATTGAATTTTTATTGAGATTATGACTATATTCACACGTTTTTATTTTCTTGTTTTTACTGCCTCTGGATGATACAAACACTTATTAATCTAAAGCATGCCTCTAATGTTTTCTTTTAAGAATAAATGATTGGAAAAAATATGGGTCATTTGACCTTTGATTTTAAATTCTCAGTAAAGAAAAGATGTAGTTATATGGCCAGTTTTAACAGGACATCTTTAGTAATTAAAAACTTATTGCTCGGAAGTATTTCCAGGGAGATGATGATGATGATGATGATGATGATGACAATATGCCTCCCTTCGTGCGGAGATAAAATGATAAAATAATAACATTCTTACGAATACAAATAGACAAAAGAAGTTTACTGGTGAAACTAATCCATGTCTCGTTTAAATCCAATTTCAATGTAATGTATTCAAGAAGAGAACCGGGATATTAGAGAAACCACCAAGCACAGTTAGGAGTATAATTTCATATAACGACAGCGAAACCAACCTTCCCTAAAGAGATGATAATGACGACTTTTACCCTTATCCAGAATCTTCATCAACTTCCTTCATTTGAAATCTCGTGTTGTACTTTTTTCTGTCAAATAAACTGCATCGACATGCTAATTCCGTAGGTAGAGAAATTAGGAATGCTGCAGTACCAAGACAGTGGTGGAGGCAAAATGGACTCTCGAGGAAATAAAGGATATCATCAGCTGCGCTCGGATGAGAATCAAGCCAGTAAAGTCCAGGAGCTTGGTACTAAGGAAAGGGAAAGTATGCAGAGAGGTATTCAAGATTGGAGAGGACATCATTCCAACAGTCTCCGAGAAGCCAGTCAAATGCCTGGGGAAGTATTTTGATGATACTTTGAACGACACCAAGAATGCCAATGATACATTGGAACAGCTGGAGAAGTGGCGAGTGTCAATAGACAGATGTGGTCTGCCAGGAAAATACAAGGCCTGGATCTATCAGCATGGAATTCTACCTCATGTACTATGGCCTCTATTGGTGTACGACGTACCATTGACAAAAGTGGAAGTGATGGAGCGCAAGGCAAGCAGTTGTCTCAGGAGATGGCTATCAGTGCCTCGAAGCTTCAGCAGTGTGGGGTTATATAGCTCAGGAACAAAGCTCCAGTTGCCGCTGACGTCAATAACAGAGGAATTTAAGGTCACCAAGGTTAGACAATTCATCATGCTTAGAGACAGCAAAGATGAGAAGGTAAAGAGCAGCGAAGGTCATGAACAGAGCAGGGAAGAAGTGGTCGGCATCACAGGCAGTAAAAGATGCAGAGTCGCGTCTTAGACACGCAGACATTGTTGGCAGTGTAGCTGTGGGAAGAACAGGGTTAGGAGCAACACCAACAGCTAGATGGGGACCAGCCTCAACTGTAGACCGACGACACATGGTCCAGAGGGAAGTACGAGCCATGGAAAAGCAGTTTCGTATGGTCAAGGCGGTTGGCATGAAGAAACAAGGAAGTTGGATGAACTGGAGCCCGCCAGAGGAAGCTGACATGGAAAGACATTTGGTATACTGAACCACAGAGTCTACAACTTAACCTCAAGTCAGTACACGATGTCTTGCCGAGCCCAACAAACCTGGCAACGTGGGGGCTGTCAGACGATCCAAGCTGCAAGCTTTGCGGGAGACCAGCTAACTTGGAGCACATGCTTTCTTCTTGCTCAGTCGCCTTGACAGATAGACGATACACCTGGCGTCACGATAAAGGTTTGTCCGTCATTGCAGATGCCTTGGAAAAGTGCAAGAGGAAACCAAAAAGGGGCAAGGGACAGCTGAAATGTGTAAACTTTGTCCGGGCAGGAGAGCCTACCACAGGAGGGACCGTTGGAGGAACTGGGCTACTAGGAACAGCAGGGTATTGGCAGCTGAAAGCAGATTTGAATGGTCGTATGCAGTTTCACCCAGAGGTAGCATTTACAAATCAAAGGCCAGACATCGTCATCTGGTCTTTGTCCACTAAACAGGCTGTCCTGGTGGAACTGTGCCATGGGAAGAAAGAATGGAGGAAGCTTATGAGCGCAAGACGAGTAAGTATCAGGGTCTAGTGGAGGACTGCCAACACAGAGGATGGAAAGTAGGGTGCTTTCCAGTGGAGGTTGGTTGCAGAGGATTTGTGGGCCAGTTGATGTGGAGAACTATGCGGGTCATAGGCATCATTGGTGCAGACAGGCGGCAGCTCATAAGCTGTCTCCGTAAAAAACTGAGATGGCTTCATTGTGGCTATGGAGGAAGAGAGGAGAAGTGGATCAAACATCAGTGATCTCGAGAAACATCGGAGACATAACGTCGTAGGAGGTGGCATACGAACATTTAATAACACCAAGCAAAACGCCACCTGTGTCACTAGCGGATAGCCGAGTGGTTCCGGCCTGGGACCTGATCACCCCAGTCGGTGCACCTCTAGAGGTTGTCGTGGACAGCGCCGAAACAACCGAGGAAGGAGGATCCACATGAAGGGACCACGACGCATCTACACCATCAAGATATTTATAGGTAACAGCTAAGTTATGGCAAGTTCAAAATAGGAAAATGTAAATGGAATCACTCATTACAAATATTAACGATATGTTGCCGTGACCTGTTTGTTACATGGCCTGTAAAGATTCGTCACTTTTTTTACCTATCTTCGATTTAAGTAAAAGTGATTTGTGTGACCGACTCGGCTATGTCTCATTACACGTATCAAAACATGAATTCCACATTTATCCATTGCATTGTTACATTTCCTGATAACTTTGTCATTTCCTACAATCCAGAAGCAATTTTGACAGATTTCGCTCGCATGATTGCCTCGACCTACATCATGACCCGAATCTATCGACAACTTGGCTTGAAAGTGGGATGAGCTTCTACGTCACCAATGACTGAAAGTAGCGTTATAATTGGCTAAGAATAAATGAGGAACCTTTTCGGACGAAAATGCGCAGATCTTAGGTTTTGTCGATTTTTCGTTGATTTAAGCATTAGATCTTCCTTTTGTCGATTTTCGTTGATTTAAGCATTAGATCTTCCTTTTGTCGATTTTCGTTGATTTAAGCATTAGATCTTCCTTTTGTCGATTTTCGTTGATTTAAGCATTAGATCTTCCTTTTGTCGATTTTCGTTGATTTAAGCATTAGATCTTCCTTTTGTCGATTTTCGTTGATTTAAGCATTAGATCTTCCTTTTGTCGATTTTCGTTGATTTAAGCATTAGATCTTCCTTTTGTCGATTTTCGTTGATTTAAGCATTAGATCTTCCTTTTGTCGATTTTCGTTGATTTAAGCATTAGATCTTCCTTTTGTCGATTTTCGTTGATTTAAGCATTAGATCTTCCTTTTGTCGATTTTCGTTGATTTAAGCATTAGATCTTCCTTTTGTCGATTTCATGGGGT